ATCACTTCACAAAAGTAGGGAAAATAAACTATATAAAATAATGACGAAATAAAAATAATGTTAAGAGAAAAACAAAATATGAAAGACTCATTATTTTATAATTCATTAAATTTTCACATTTATGATAGTCTTGAAAATCCGTGAACGAAGATAATGCATGTATGACAATTTTAGAAGATGCGACAATAATTTATGTTGGACGAAATATATAGATAAATGAGTATCTTTAATCAATAAAGATGTTATTATTCCTAAGCTTTGGCATGTAGTTTTTTTTTAATAATTACGATTTTAAAGATATTTTTTATATTTATGTGTCTTTTTTGTCATTTATCTAAGTATTATGAAATATTATACTTGCAAATATAACTAAACTTACAACCACTATAATCAAAATAATTGAGAACGAATTATTCAAACATAACGTTTTAGCTTCCAATCGACAATAAGAAATGATCATTACAAATTATGGTTATAACAATTCGCGTTATCTTTCAAAGAATATGATGCAAAAGGATGACATTAGGAAACTATATTTGATGATGATCATTATTTTAAGCAAAAGTAGGGAAAATAAACTATATAAAATGTTGACGAAGATATAAAAATGATGTTAAGATAAAAATAAAATATAAAAGAATCATTATTTTATTATTCATTTAAACTGAAATTAGTAAATTTTCATATTTAGGATAGTCTTGAAAATCCGGGAATGAAGATAATGGATGTATGACAATGTTAGGAGATGCAACAACAATTTATGTTGGAAATATGTATATATAGATGAGTATATTTAATCAATAAAGATGTTTTTACTCCTAAACTTTTTCAAGTAAATTTTCGTTTTGAAATAATTACGACTTTAAAGACATTTTCAAATATTTATGTATCTCTTATGTCATTATGACTAGGGAATAATTATATATATCTAAGTATTATGAAATATTATACTTACAGATATATTTAAACTTGCAATCACTATAATCAAAATAATTGAGAACAAATTATTCAAACATAGTTTGTTAGCTTCCAATCGACAATATCATTATAAATTATAGTTATAGAAAATTTGATTTATTTTTCAAAGAGTGATGCAAAAGGATGACATTAAAAAACTATATTATGATGACAACAATAGTGATCATTATTTTAAGCACAATGAAGATACCATTAAATAATAAAATCAAAGACAATATAAATTTATTTAGCATTTACATTTTCACTAGAAAAAATATTAATTTTATTTTCGGTTTTCAATCCAATGTTTTTATTTAATTTAATTTATCATAGAGTTTAGTTAATAGTATTAAATATTATATTTCATTATTCAATAAAATACACCTTTTTTTGTTAAACTAATTGAAAGAAAATTATATTATACTATTAAATATAAACCTAATACTAAAATCAATGTGAAAAAAAAAATATCACGTGCGTAGCACGTGCAACTTCCTAGTACATTAAAACACACAAACACAGTTACACCACACAAATAACATTAATAATTATAATATAAATAATTAACGCACCTCGCTTGGGTTCAGGGAATTTGACTTCAACAGCACTTTTTAAAAAACTCTGTACAGACAGTTCTTTAATCCCAATACTAATAAAGAACTAATTTGAGCTGTCATTATGCTTTAATTCCTTCTATAGACCTTTCCAAACTTCAGACACTGCAGTTAAGCTTTAATCCATACAAAAAAAAAAATGACCAGAATGTGGTCTAAGAGAACCTGCAAACCCAATCCCACGTCGAAAAATTAAAGGTTCTAAGTCCAATATATAAGTTTGGTGAGCTACTCCTTCTATTGTCAATTGATTTTAGAATGGAACCTCGTTTGGAAAAGTGGAAATAATTATATTACAAGCTAGAAA